CGGTGAGCACACAACTTCAGGAGAGCGGCATTTGGCTTACAGTAAGGACAAAAACAAACAAGCAGACAAAATCAAGCAGGCAAGAATAGCAAAAAGCAAAGGCAACGCAGAAAATTAAACAGAATGACATTTAGCTTTTAACAAAGATAAACGCATACAAGCAGACAGAAAGCAAACAGACAAGAACAAGCAAAAGCAAAGGCAGCAGAGCAACGTTCACTTACCTGGGTACTCACTTACTTGTGATCTCCTGCAATGCTCCAGATGGAGCCTCATCACGGATATGCCAATGCCGGCCAACGAAGCCGAGATTACCCTGTGCGGAGTTGTACACACGGACACCCTCACCTCGTTTAGCTCGCCGGTCGGGGCGGTTACCGGGGTATGGCCGCTAGTCAGAGTCGAGTATCAGGGAGCCACACTTGAGAGTTGGGTTACAGCAAATGGACGCTAGGCGTAGTCTACACCTGAAAGCAATCGAGCGACCTAATACGATCATCACGTGGACCCACCGCTGGACACCCCTGCACCCCTGTTGCATAATGCAGACCTCTGCAGACGCACATGTCCTTAACTTCTTGTTTCATATTTCACAAAAGCAACAGCGTTATGACCTTTGAGGTACGGACGGGGAGCCAATGCATTCAGAATATTGTAGAAGCGCATGTTTGGCCGGGGAAGTAAATATTGTCGTTTTAGTCATAAAATAGACCCCCTTCCCTCCTATTTTGTTATATATATACGGCTAATACCTGATTTCTTGTTTAATCCGTCCGCAGTTTTCGGATTCGGAAAGTGTAGGCTATTTGATAGAGTCTTTCAAGGTTATTCAGAAGCTGTTCAGATATATATGAAACCAGCATTTTCTATATGTTCGCAGGACACTAGAGATTTCAAATATTGGCAGTATGGTATTACCGACAAAGACAAGGGAGACAGTCTCCCTTGTCCTTGTCGGTAATACCATACTACCTATACAATGCGTCGCTGTGCGGCTGCTGGTTGGGCTCGAGAGAGAGCCCGTAAAACACTACGGAACGAGTGAGTTCCATAAGTACGATCGGTGAGCGTCCCCTACCATTCCAAATAGTGTTTACACACAACCGCATTCAGACATATTTTCTAGCATCTCGTGAATTTGTCAACGATCAACTAACATTAGAATATCTTTTAAACTGCCAACAGGATCATCAGTCTGGTGGAACAACGTGTCAGCGTTCTCATAGTTGGCATTCTCGTAAGCATTTCGATAGTCCTTGGGGATATCCTGCGTTTCATTCCGATTGCCGTCCTCTACGGCATGTTCATATACCTCGGACTCAGCGGTCTTCGAGGTTTGGACTCAGTGAGCTCCCTGCTGGCCCTCTTGACACGCCGCAAGTATTGGACGCGCTGGGAGTTTCTGACCAACCTTCCAAAGCCTCAACTGGCCGTCTTCACTTTCATAAACTTCTTTCAACTCTCCATCCTCATTGTGTGCATAGTCCTTGCCGAATTTACCTCTGCCTCCTACGTTACCCTGATCACACCCTTCGTCCTCATTGGCTGCGGTCTGATCCGGGAGTTCTTGCTACCTAGATGGCGATGGCTAGCACCATCCCTGGAAAAGGTAGGCGATATACCCCAACCATTCTACATAAGAAACAAACTGCCACATAAATTTCCATTATGACTTTTAGGTATGTGTCATAGAACACATATTCTTTACCATTTAAAGTCCGTGTATTGACTTCTACTACGAGGTAGAACTGATGGAATAACATGAAATTTGGTATTTCGACCGATGGGATTAAACCTACTGTTGTCCGCAGTTTACAAAATTATCAACGGAGATTCCCATGCTAGCCACAGCGGTCTGCATAATTTCGTTTTACTCGGCGTTTGTTGCATAACAGCCTGTTATCCTGCAAGTGATTTGTCTAGTCGACTGAACACCAATTTGCGCCGGTCCGATCTATTCTGAGATGCAGACAATACGCATAGGCGATTACTGAAATTGACAGAACCTGAGAATCCTTTCTGGGTAAAAGTAAAGTTACCTGGGAAACTGCTGGGCAGTGTTAAGCAGATGAAATAATGGCAGAAATTTAAACCCAACGCTTAACCCTAAAATCCAACACTGACCGCAACCGTAAAGCCTAACGATAAGCCTAGAAACCGAAACGTAACCAAAATCTTAAAACCCAACGGTAACCCAAAACCTAGTCATAACCCTAACCCTAACCTTGACCCTAATTCTAACCTTAACCCTATCCCCAAACTTAGGCCTAACCCTAACCCTAACCTTAACCGCAACCCTAACGGGAACCTAAACCCTACCCCTAACACTGAAACCTGACCCTAGAACGCAAACCCTAATCCTAAGACTTAACTTATGCCTAACCCTAACCCTCACTAAACCCAACAGCCTGACAGAAACGGGCGACCTGGGTAACTCAGTTATAGCACACCTACTGATAAAAACTTCCCTACACAAGGTAAGCAAACCTACTGATAACAAGTACGTACGTCGGCAATATCAACGTATAATGTCTGGCTATCAACTGCGATCTTACCCTTTGTGTTTTGAAATTTACGTATAACTGCTGCGATATAAGCACTAAAACACCGACCTCGGTTCGTTAAGTAGGCCTCCTGATTGTCGAAAAGAGTCACGGCTTTCGATGAGACACTTCGGAACTCTCATTGTTTAGGGTAGTATATGACCGATTGACGACAATGGTGGGAAATGTCGTTGTATCCTTTAGTTTTTTTCGGAGATCGTTAGAGTTAAGTGGAGGTTGCACTGTATTCCAAGCAACCTGCCATTTTGGCTGATACAGAAAAAGAAACCAGTACTCTTCCGAATGCTTTCCATGTTTTTTTCTTTATTTTAAGCTTGACAAACGCTGCCTTCCAGCTGCTGGTACCTTCAAGGACCCAACAAGTTCGACCTTCGAGGAGGAATCTGGATCGTCGGAAAAGGTCGACAAGCAATTAAACCACGAGTCCGTGGAAACTTTGCTTTTCTAAGTTCAAGTTTTTATGTATTTGGAATCTAAAGGAAATTGAGCATAGTATCCTTCTATCTCTTACACCTCTGATTTGTCCAGTTGATTATTTCAGACTCGGACGATTTTCTTCACCATTATCGTGCATATTTTTATGTCAGAGCAAATTTTATTTGTCATTTTTTATTCTTTTTTACCTAATATTTACAGCAAAAGAAAGAGAAAATTGTAAATACTTTCTTTTATCCAGATTTATTCCCCCTACAAATCCTAAACTCTCAGCATCCATTGACGGAAAATAATTTTTTTCAAACGTACACGTTACCTGAAGGAGATAGCTCACCTTAACTTCATACTCCCACGATGCGCAGGGAGATTGAAATAGTTTCATCTGTCGTCGGAAAGAACCAATGCGACATTTGGGAGTTTGACTGAATAGAGCCTCCGCTGCAAACGTTAATCCATGGTTCTTTTCTATTATAATTCTTCTAGCCACAACCGTCGATGTTATGTCTGTATACAGTCTTGGCTCAGGTTAGTGTAAGACGTTGTGCAAACCGTGTCATATTCACTTTTATTTCAGTTTGAATGGGGATCTCGGGATCAATGTTCGTATAACGGGTTGTCACTAACGCATTCACATCAACGTAGCCTTTGTGCAGACTCTTTTTTTGGCCCGAGGAAAACTGTCTTAGGGTTCACCAGAACAGCGCTTTTAGTCACGGCACTTAGCCGAAGGATTCCCATCTGGTTAGCAAAAGCATGCACCGAATCTCAAGGGACACGCGATGATTACACGGGATCAGTTACCTGAACTCCTTTTGCCTGCATTTAGCAGACTTGCAAGCCCTGGTTTCACATTAGGTACTTTTAGCAAAGTTGTAAAGAAGATGAACACCCGATCTCTGGGACAGTAGGTGTATTGATCTGAGCTTTCGGTCTTGTACAGGATGCCAACGTCAGAGACTGCGAGAATGCGACATCAAATGAGCAGTTTTGTAGTCAAGCCATGAAGGGGGAGGATATGAGTGCAGAGGGTGGTATTCGCGATAAGCTGAGTCCCACGCCGTCTCGCGGCGGCGTGACTGCGTGCACCTTTGGCTGGGAGTTGGGTCTCGCCTCTTGGCCGCGGGAACGGAGCACGTGATAGCAGGGGGGTATGTCAACGTGCCTATTGATAGAGTTGATGCCAGACACCCAGGCCTCCAACAGTTCTCGCCCTGTCTTATTGTTGGCCCGCGCTACTATCCGCGTGCTCGCGAAGTTGAATTCGTGGCCTTCCTCCAGCGTGTAACAACGAGTCGCCTCTCAGGACCGCCCGTTTGTGCTCCGTTATTCATGAG